CAGGCTGCGACTGGGCGACCACAACCTCCATCGCCGGCGACCAGGCGCTCCCTCGCCGGCCGCCATGGCTGCCTGCCGCCATGGCTGGATGCAGCCCGCGTATACTAGTGTTGCAACCGTCACCTAGAACAGCTTCAACAGCTGTTGAAAAAAGCTTCAACCATAGACAGAAAAGCTTCAATGAAACTGCATAATAAGGGGAAGCTGCAACCGTAGTTGGTTTTTGTTACTACAGGCGAAGTTTTTTGCTACATCCATCAGGCGGAGCTGCGACCTCACGACGATGACAACGACGATTTTTTGTTGCAATCGTAGTAGAATTTTGCTACCACCGCTGAAGTTTTTGCTACATCCATGTAAGGCAGAGTTGCGACCTCGCGAAAGACGGCGACGGTGTTTGATTTTTGCTGCAACCATAGTAGATTTTTTGCTTCTATCGGTGAAGCTTTTTGCTACATCCACGTAAGGCGGAGTCGCGACCTCGCGAAAGACGGCGACGGTGTTTGATTTTTGCTGCAACCATAGTAGATTTTTGCTTCTATCGGTGAAGCTTTTTGCTACATCCATGTAAGGCGGAGTCGCGACCTCGCGAAAGACGGCGACGGTGTTTGATTTTTGCTGCAACCGTAGTTTACTTTCGCTACTACGGGTGAAGTTTTTTGCTACATCCATTCAAAACGGTGTTGATTGACTGACGGTCGCCGTCGATATAATTTCCTACGGCGAGCATCAATGGCGAGGGGCGGCGGCCGAGCCACAACCGTCGCCGTCAAGAGCTGCAACGCAGGTGGAGTTGTTGCATGGGAACTGGCGACGTGGACAGCTGGCAAGGGCGGGGACTGGCGACGAGGACGGGCGGCGAGGGCAGGGATCGGCGACGAGGACGGGCGGCGAGGGTGGGGGTCCGGCGGCGACGAGGAAGACCGGCGAGGGTGGGGACCGGCGACCACCGGAGGGGACAGGAGGCGCGGCGTCGCGCTCCCCCAAACGGGATCCAACTGACTGCCCGAGGAAGAAGAGAGCTTGGGGCGATTCGTTTTTTTTTTGCTTGGGATCCAGCGGCTGCGTGGCTCAAATCGAACGGTCCGGGCTGGACCAGCCGAACGATTCGGCCGGCGCACCGGCGCCTATCGGTGCCCTAATCAATAAGATCTCCGTCTGATATAGTAGCTTATGAGCACACGTACCCCGCAGCATCAAACAAATACTCGGTTTCAGAGTTAATTTCTGTAAGTCTGGCTTACCTAAATACTCATTTGATTCACTGTTGGGTAATTGAATAGGGATAAAAAAAGTGAGGTGCAACTCAAGCGAATAAACAGTAGAAGAATGAAGAAGTAAGCAGGGAGTGGATGTAGATCCTCCAAGGGAACATCAAGGTAAGGCATTAAACTGAATTTGTGGCACTACTGAATATATGAACTGGCTTGTTAGGACCAACTTATCTGAAACTAATGTGTGAAAAGCTGGACAGGGCGAAATAATTTGTAAGTATAGTACAAAACTGTACGGAAAATCTTATGGCAATTTTCCTATTGATGCTTCTAGGTACTGGTTGTGCCCACCTGTTGTGGGGTTGCTTCTACCTAAACCATGTGGATTACTCTTCGTACAATTTTCTTGCAGTTAGTGTCGGGAACTCTGTGTACTTGTGAAATGCATGCAGCAACAAGGTCTGCCAACCATTGTCATTGTTGCAAGATTACTTTTTTGAAAGTTGTAAAGAGAACGAGAGATAGAACTAAGTAAGTTGCTCTAGCTCTCACCAAGCTATGTCATTGAGCAGGTCACTAAGCTTTGCTATTCGGGTGCATATGACACTAATTATCCAGTGGGTTGGGCACAACATGGCACTCAGCAGCCCGTAGGAAAGAAATGGTTCTCTAAGTTGGGATGGTTTTGTGATTAATTGTTGGCTTGTTGCCATCAGATTTACTTACATGGTCAGCTTCCAGTGTTCAGCTATTATATGTAGCACCGCAGATGCATATATTACTATTCAGTGTATACTAAAGTTTTACTTTGCAGAAGAAATGCATGGCACAGATGATGTTACTTGCTGTTCTAGGTGTGGTGATCTCAACATTTTTGCTTGGCGCTGCTATAAAGGTATGTATGTGCCTGGATTGATAACGGACATAGGCAATTCAGTTTAATGTTTTGATGCCTAATTTGTCGTAGCTTACTTTTCCGTATGATTGGAACTGGAAAACATCATTCTTGTTCGGCGGACGCTCAGTGCAACCGATCATGTTACTATGATTGCTCTTCTAAAAGACCTAGGCGCAAGCAAAAAGCTCAGTACGATAATCGAAGGAGAATCCTTAATGAACGATAGGTATGCTACTTTGACTCCCAAATTGTTCATCTTTTGATTTTTTAGAATGCGTGCTTTCCCCTTGTCTGCATGCCCATTCCTGTGTTTTATTGGGAGCAGTTCCATTATGATAATCAAAATGGAATGATTGACATAGTATACAGATTACAAGTCTATTTGGGCTTTAGAATGTATGTTTCACACTAAGAAGTAAAAGTATACATTATATTGGTAGACTTGTATGTGAAATTTAATACAAGTGTATTTTCACTTCATTTAAAATAAATCACACTATGTTGGAAAAAAGAGACCAGAGGGGTTTGGGATGGGGCAGGGTGGGATGTGTGTGGATGAAACTACTTTGCATATTCTTAAGAAGAAGCAACGGCCAACTCATATTTATTTGATCCGGGAAAATGTAGCCGACAATGATAATTCTGCCCACGACTGAACTTTGAAACATAGCCAACGCACACCCACCATTGGGTTATTGTATAGTTACCAAATTGCGCCATGTACAATTATAAGATTATTTTGTATTGTATTCTTACTAAATAACCTTGCATTCTACTGGACTGCTATTGTTGTCTATCAGTTATTTTATTGAACGGTTCTCGGAAAAACTTTCGGTGCAGGGTCCATAATAAAGTTTTTATCACAAGTTTCACTTGGAGCGTATGTGATTTACAAGTCCAAACTAGATGATACCAAACCATGCTACCAATGCTAATCTGTATCTTCTTTGACCAGTGTTGCTCTGGGCCTTGCATTTGGAATCGCATCTCTACTATGGCTGGGCTTTATTTTCGATGGTACAATCATACAGATTTCACTAACACTTGCAGTCAGATATATGGCTTTCTTCACTGTAAGATAATCAGATAACGGACATATCAAGGCTCTTATATTTCTATTTTTATCTCTAGAAGGACATGATTTTCTTAGTGTTTGGAAATGGTTTTTAGCTTGAGTAATAGAATGGTTGTCAAGCAACCCTTTTTGCAACACTGGGATGCTGTTTTAATGGCTTGTGATGGCAATCCAGGGTCATTTCTGGATACATTCATGTGTGCCAATGAGGTTTCCATGTACTGATGATGTAATATTAGATTTTTTATCTTGTCAATTTCTTACCCTGGCAGTACGACTATGTACTCAGACTGCTAGAAAAGTGTATTTTCTTTTAACTATTTCCCCATGAAAGTATGTACTCCCTCCGTAAAGAAATATAAGAGCGTTTAGATCATTATCTAAACGCTTTTATATTTTTTTTACAGAAAGAGTACTATTTATATCTGATACTGTGTGTTGATCATTGAACAACTTAATAACTTTTAAGTAATGACTCAGGATAAAGATGATGAAGTAGAGAACGTAATCTTGGTGAAGGCATCTCAATGAAGATGAGACAATATCTATTCATTTATGTTATACTAGTAAACATGCCTGTGCGTTGTAATGGGAGAAAATAAATACGCACCTAACTCAGTAAGCATGTTGGAAGACAGCTCACACACATATGTGCACGTCCTCTATTTTAATACTATGAGGTATTCCCTTCGTCCGGAAATACTTGTCAAATAAATGAATATATCTAGATGTATTTTAGTTTTAGATACATTCATTTTTATGTATTTATGCGATGAATAATTCCGGACGACGAGTAATTCCAGACGAAGGGAGTACCGTATTTGTGTTGCCATTTATCCTCTATCCTCGGAAACAAAAGCTCACGGGGTTCACCTAATTAAATCTTGTTTAAATATTGCTAATCCCAAGGCGATTAGCTTCTTTCCCCGAATGACACACCTCTTTTTTTAACACAATATAATGTAGATGCCCACACAAACATGCACATACACTCATCCTAGGCACGCCTGCTCGCGCACCCTACGCTTTTGGGCGCCTTGAGATACTGAGCCGACACTACATCTTGAGACTGACGAAGCCTGCACAGGCGATGTCGTAGTCGATGAGAACATCTTCTCCCACCGAATGAATATGGCCGGGATGCCTAAAATATATCCAGGACAATGCGAGTATCGGTGCCAAGTCTAGGAGTTGAACCATGATGAGTTGGTTCCACCGCAAGGAATCTTTAGCATGACACACATATTATAAACAACGCCAACACAAAAAAATGTTTAAAACTTAAAAAGCTAATCTTATCCAGCTAGACGCGAGGACCACCCTCCGCAAGCAACTCCATGTGAAACGATTGGTGTATGCTTAAACCCCAACTATTTAAGAATTTATCAAATTCTTACCGAAATCTCGTAAGCAATTTAAATTAGATTCAAAATTAACCTGGCCCACCTACCCAATCGGCAAATGAAAAAAAAACTACAATTACTCTGTGCAATTATTTATCCACTCCAATCCAGAAACGGCGTTAATGCTTTTGCGGTTCAGCCATCTTAGGCCGACTCCAATGCATGTACCTAATGGACACGGATTTTGTCCGCTTTTGTCGTTTGGGTATCCAAATGGACAGACGGACACATCCAGTGTAACCAACGCGGAGGACTCATTTGGAACGAACACAACATCAACGGGGCTCAGGGATGACACCGCCTGCCACCAGCGACGACGAAGATGGCGAGAGGCTACCGAATTCCACACGGACCAGCGTGCTGAGCGCCCGCAGTTCAATGGCCATGCAGCTACTATTCCTGGACGGCCACTGGGGCGAAAACCGCGACCATCGGTACGGCCAGCGCGACCACCAGGGCGACCAACGTGACCACCAGGGGAATCAGTGCGGTCACTGGGACGGCAAGTGAGTACCCGCACGGCTCGCCAAAGAGCGGCCAAGGAGGTGAAGCGAAACCGCTCTTCGACATGGTGGGTGAACGGGGCCGGGGCGACGTGCGACGCCATGGTGAACCCCGCGTTGTCGTTCACACCGCCGGCCCAGAGAGATTTGCTCTGCACGCGCAGCGCCGCAACGTGGACCTCGACCCGGCCGCCACCAGCTGGAAGGGGCTCGTCAACGAGTTGGTTCGTTTGACGGAGCATCTTGAATGCACGACCTCTTGCTGCTGGGAGGCGGGGGTAGCGGGGCCGATGGCTCGAGAGAGAAAGGAGAAAGAAAAGAGGGGTAGGTGGGGAAAAGTTGAATTTGTTTCGCTGCCATAAGGGCCAGTGTGCGGACACGGGTGGACAAATGGACGTCCGGCATGTGTCGGCTTCGACCTAAATCTCCCTTAAATTTGAGTTAGAAATGAGTCTAGACAAACACAAAACAAACGGAAAAATAAAACAGATCTTGTGGAACTGTAGCGTTTGTTGTATTGGGGTAGTGTGTGGTAATGATGCTGGTGGAGTGCACATCCCATGAAATTTAGGTTAAATATAACCTAAGTATACAGTCCACAATCCCTCGGTTAAAATCTACCAACACCTCATGTGTTCTGGTGAGTGGCCGCCACGTACGTACAACCATCACGTGTACAGGCAGATTGAGGGAGTTATCCATTCACATTCTTGAACTCTCGCTTGTTCTATTCCTATCGTCCCCATATTTTTTTCTCTCTCTCTCTCGTTTCATCATCTGCCCGTTTCCTTGCCCGATGTAGCTAGCTAAGGGTGCGTTTGATTGTATTGCCCAGCTTGCCCATAGCTGAGCTAGCCTGGCTAGGTTAGCTCGGATGGGCTACCTTTGCCTTAGCTGCACGTTTAGTTCAATGCCATTGCTAGCAAGGGCCAACAGCTAGTCGTTTGGTTGTGTTGCGGGCAAAGTACAATATCTTCACAGTATTCAAATACATCTAGCTTATAACAAATGCATCAACAGTACAATATCGTTGAAAACAACCCCAGTGAAACAGAGAAATGACTACAAGAAGATCAAGTTGTAAATAGTCATGCAAAAATTCGATGCAACTTGATGATTATAAATTTAACACACTTTGCAAACACACTGACTGATAATTTTTTTGAGTAACAAGCTTATTTTCCAGGAATGAAAAACTGAATGACATCATTACATGCAAGTATGAGGCATGGGCATTATTTCCCTAGGAGACGACACTGGAAGACATTCAAAATAATCCTAAAAATTTACAGCAAAATGAATCACACGTTAGGAGCAACATGAACGTGTTCATGAAAGTTATCACCGACCCAGCGCCGCACAAACTCTTGAATAGCCGTCATCGGCCTCCCTTTCAACATGGACGCCACTTGTTCATTGGTGGCCAAAGACGTCTGTAGTGCAAGTCGGACGAAGAGAGGGTATTCTTCCATGTCATCAATTATTTTGAATAAATTCTCATTCGGGTTGGTCACGTGTGTGAAACGCATAGTATCCTACATATCACGCAGAGACCGCGTCATGTCTTGAACTACACTCTCCTCACACTTCACCCTCTTACCTTTATCGCTTTTGCCACCTCTAGGACGTTTCAAAGACGAGCTTTCATTATTGGTGTCATCAGGAAGACAATCTGAATCATATTGTGTTGCAGGATCAATCTCAATATCAATCACACGCTTCTCGGTGTCACCAATAAAATCCTTGTCACGAGCATGAACACGGTCATAGGGTGTTTGAAGGACCGTGAACTCCCCGGTAGCATGCTTATTCTGAAATATGAACTCCATCTCATCAAAGTTGGCAACAGCGGCGGAGCCAACATACAAGCATTGGGTTCAACTGAACCCAACAGATTTTGCTCCGTACGTGCATGTAGATGCATGTTTACTTGATGTGAACCCATTAAAAACTTGTGACTGACCCCATCAACGAAAGGTTGTCACATTAGCGACTAAGTAAAAGGGCCAAAAGTGAACAGCCCACGAGAGGTCCTTGACTCCTTGCCGTAATTAATCACCGTGATTTGTTACCTATGCAACCGCACGCCCGTACGCCTCATCGTCTTTCCCTTTTCCAATTCGCATCTGATCTCTCCTTCGTCTGTTCGTGTTCCTGGTGCCTCGCCGCGAGGCCTCCTCTATCGGCCATAGCCAGATCGACAACGGCAACAATTGTACCCCAAAATTTGAGGTAATTAGATTACATTTCCTTATCTTCTCCCTCTCTCTTATGTATGTTCTATTTAGTCTAATAGCCTTGCACGATAGTGATCTTTTTGCCCTAATTTTTTGATTTGTTATTCTCCAGGGACTTTGATTGTTCTAGGCCATGGATCAGTATTTTCGAAGAAATCTCGGTCACCAGATCCAGATAATGATGCAGGCATATCAAGGTCACCCATAAGACATAGGCTAAGTGCATCAAATGTCCCCGCAGCTAGTCTTCTAAAGGCTACTATTCATACATAAATTAACTAAAATGAGTTGCCTTATGTATGATCCGGCTGATCGGAAGAGAATTTCAAAGTACACAAGAAATCCAAAGAAGCAAGATGAGATTCGGCGCAGATATTCAACAGGGACCTTACAGGCCACCGTTTAATTTTGATTACCCACAAAGGGAGATTGGAGATAATCAACGGAGATTTAATCGAGATTTGTTTGATGAATATGGTGGTGGCCAAAAAAACAATAAGGCAGAACTTTCAACATTACCGAATTGAGTGTCTTAATTATGTTATTGATTGGCAACTTCAACATCACCGAGATGTTGTCAAAAGAAAAGTTGTGCTACAAAATGGATGATCAGTTCATGAGTGATTGTCTATGTCGAGAAAGATAAATTTTCTACCATTACTAATAATGCAGTGTTTAATCTTTTTTAGGCGATGAAAGATCGGAAGGGGACACTCTAAAATGTGAGTGCCTTTACAAAATTCTTTTGCTTGATAGTATTTATTCCAAACTTGTCAAACTAACTTGCCATTTTTCCAATGTTCTAGGAAGATATAAGCTATAGCTGGAGCTACAAAGTTATTTCATACTACTCTATTTATAGTA